GACGTAATATCTCACCGAGCACGCCACCTAAGGGACTTCCACGTTTGCTCGAGGATTTTGTCTCCAGTGGAGAGGGAAAGTATGCACATGATCAACTACATGTGTTGGTGACAATATGATAATTCTGGGAGGAAATTCTTGTTTGCTTTCTATACACTTCTACCGGAAGTCGTGTGTGAACTTCTACAATCAGTGGAGAAACTCCTGAGCTCAGCGAGCATATATTCCTCCAAAGTCTGTACTCACCCAAGAGCAAGAGCATGTCCGGAGTTTTATCGAATCCTTCCACAGGGAGGAGCATTCGTGCGAGGCAAACAGGCAAGGCAGTCTCGTAGTAGGCTCCTGAACCAGGGGTCTATCACTGGAGTCGTAGTGAATGTATACTTATTATCAGTCTTTCATGGAAGGCTAGTAGTAAGCTGAGAATACCCAACGCTGCTTTGGCCTGTCAAAGGTAGTAGTGGTAATCGAATTGAAGCGAATGGGCAACTCTTCCTAGTCGTGATGAGGCACGATGAGACGGACGAGTGGTATTTAACATTTTTCAATATTTGGTTATATTCTGCAGCTACCTCTTGGAACTGTTCGTTTCCAATACTCGAAGTAACGAGTTCAGCACCACAACAACAGGTGAGTTGTAGGAAGTACACAAGTCGATCAATGAGGATCTTAGACACGCCTTCACCACAGAGGCCTATCCAGCCTCCCTTCTGAAGATGGAGCAATGATATCTAATTGCTATCTTAATTCGTATCTAGTTGCTACTAATCATCAACTATATCAAACGAGAAGTTAATATTCATGAGAGTTTTGGTATCGTAGGACAAAAAGGCCCGATGACTTCCTTATGAGATTCACCGTTGTCACCACAAAAATAAACTCCATGAGCATTCGATAAGGCACAAGCATAAACAGCGGGATGGTTTTCAATCTACCTTGTAACGTATAAATGACTCTCACGTACTTCTTGCGCGATCGAGTAAAGTTGCTGTAGTGTTATCTTCAGCCCAAGTATAGACTTTCCAAGGGCAGCGACTTGGAAATCTATAAACACGGTGTTGGTTCGTATGTAGCCTCTAAGAGATGACCTGCGTGATCGGAGTGATTATGCTTCGTCCCGTCAAACGTTCCTATCCAACGTTTAAGAAATGTCACCTGCACTGATTGCTGACGACGACGGTGCTGTGATACACTGCTCACCGCTTGTCTCGAATTAGCGCACAGGGAAGATTCCCGAGCCGACTGTGGCCAGGGATCGAGCAGAGGCGTGTAGTGATAACTGATGTTACTCCGGAGAGTTGATGCCATCTGCGGGTGGTTTCTCTCAGCAGTAGAACACATTTAAGGGAACCGTAAGGTTCTGTACAGTGTCAACACCCTACACTGTAGTCACTACTCAGCCCAACTAGTCATGGACATTCTAACGATTTCGGACTATCTCAGCTGAGTTTACTAACATTGAAGGTGTTTCGAGTGGACTCTCCTACACAACTGAAAGCGAGAAAACGCCACGAGGTGCGACTTAGTCAGAAGTTGAGTTTGATTTCAATGGAGATAACATGGATTTGAATGGCAGATTATTCCAAGGTTGAGTCTGCCTATTCGCTTTCATACTCTCAACTGCTCCTTCACAAAAGAGTGGTACTGCTCCGGCCCTCATCTGTATCCACCACGAGTCGACCTAAGATATCTTCACCACGCAGTCATTTAATTTAGCGCGCGCCCGTGACTAGCATAATTTCATTGTGTTATGGCAGGTCGATAGAACTACAATCCGCTGATGGTCAGTCGCTACTAGTGAACCTTCGGAAGAGCAGTTTGGAAACAGAAGTTCGAGCGGCTATTCGTAAGTAGGGGAAAGGCGACTGTCGAGGACTGTCGTGTTGGAGAAATATATAAGCTCAGGCTGAGCTCGGGAGTTTTCTTACTAATTATAGGAATTTACATTTGGGTAGAAATGTACAGGAATCAATGAGAATTTCTCGGAGTTTCCTCAGAATTTTTCTATTGTTACCAACATATGTCCATTTCCCCACACTGAGTAGAGGTATAGGAAATTGTAGCTGTGAGCAACAGTCGTGAACTTTTCAGTTTGGAGTGGTATGGCAGGGACAGTGCGGGAAAATATGCACATGGTCAACTACATGTGTTGGAGAAAATATGAAAATTCTGTGGAAATTTTGGGAAATTATTGTTGGTTTCTGTACACTTCTAGCCGAATTTGTCCTCGGATTCAACTGGGGAAAACAAACATAACATATATTCCAACATCGACGAAAGAACATCTGAAAATGGGTTGGAATTGTGTCGCGCGCGTAGAGGTCAATTTTGGGCCTGTTTTGAATCTTACAGTGAGCAACCTCAGGATATTCACCGTAGATTCGTGAGGGTTATATTGTCGATGCTGAGAGGGAACCTTCATATACGAATATGATCTAGCGATGGTCGGCGGCGGCCAAGTGATGAGGTAGTTGGCATGACCTCAAGAAGAGCTATGGCCGTCATCAAAGTAGATGAAAGTGTGGTATCTTAGCACGCTCATGCTTGGATATGATTGAGGTCGGTTTCTCCGACAACCTTGTATGGTCTGAAAACTCCTCTAGGTTAGTTGCATCAGAACTCACTGGGAAGTGCTCCTCTTTCTGAAGAGGAAGATGAATGTCTTTGCTTCAGCGCACAGCGAAGATTTTACCGCGAGTTTAGAAGTATCTTTGGGAAGTGTGAAGGTTAGGAATGGCAGAGAGATACCCGTGAAATTGGAATTGTTGGATATAGTCGGCTTGGGAGGGGTTCCTAGTGAAAGTACTTCCAAATTGGTGCTCTCGTGAACTGGTACGGAAACGCATGAGATCAGGTGTTGTAGGAAAGCCCGAGTAGGGAGATATTTTCAAACGATTATGTCCCCTGGCTGAATGCAACGTTTAATCGTTGAGTTAAGTTGGGTAAATCGTCGGGTTTTGTTGAGTGAAAAATGTCTAGATTGGCAAATTGGAAGATATGTTTAATGAGGTTGAGCACATAAGATACGAAATAGGTCCACAGTGGACCGAGGC